ACACACACACACACACACACACACACACACACACACACACACACACACACACACACACACATTATCCAAATCAAATGAAAGTTTAGCAGAACTAATGTAGCACAATTGATTGATACCAAACTTGTTTGAATTCGTAAATGCAGGTGTTGGCTGACCTCTGGAAACTTCTGTTAATATCTTGGATATGATTGCCACACCTGTCAAATTCAGAATAGAATTTAAAATATTACTCCTAACATACAAAGCTCTTAACAGCCAAGCTCCACCTTGTATTAAACATCTTATTGTTCCATACTTTCCTAACAGAGCACTTCACTCTCAGACTGCAGGTTTACTTGTGGTTCCTCGAGTTTCTAAAAGTAGAATGGGAGGCAGAACTTTCAGTTATCAAGCTCCTCTCTTGTGGAACCAACTTTCAGTTTCTGTCCATGAAGCTGACACTCGGTCTACTTTTAAGATTAGACTGAATAGTTAGACTTAGGTTTCCTGAATTATTCTTCATTTCTGCTGCTATAGACTTGGACTGCTGGAGCACAAACTGAGCACATTTTTTCACTCTGCTGTTGTCTTTATTCTCTCTTCTCTACATGTTTATTGTTATTATTTCTATCATGTTTTTTCTTTGTCTTCCAGAAGAAGGTGCACCTGGACCAGTTCTTCTATGTTTGACTGTGCCTCTTTCCTGTCCCTCAACCAGCCGGTCGAGGCAGATGGTCGCCTGCACTGAGCCTGGTTCTGCTGGAGGTTTCTTCCTGATTAGCAGGGAGTTTTTCCTCTCCACCGTTTGCTCAGGATGGGAGACTGTGATGAAGTGATTCAACGAAGCCTGCTGGTTTCTTCTTTAGATTATTCTTTTTATGTACAGTGCCCTGAGACAACGTATGTTGTGACTTGGTGCTATATAAATAAAGTTGGACTTGAACTTGAACACAAACTAAATTTTTTGGTGCACCAACGTTTGACACCAATTTTGTCTGATTTGAAAAAGGTGTGTGTGCAGGGCAGGGCAAACGGGGAAATTTTTGTAATTTTACCTGCAAGCTACCAAAGTTTTTTTTTCCTTCCCTGCTGGTAAATCTTAATTTACAAATACTATTTGATGTTTCTGCTTTAAATGACATAAAAATTCTTCATTTTAAAAACCTAAAAACAGGATTCAGACCAAATATTAATGTATTACTGTGATAAAAAGACACATGAAGGCATATCTTTGGAACCACTCATCATATCAGGATGGTCCAGGTGTCAAAATGGAGCTTAAAATAAAAAGCAGGAATCTGAAAATGAGCTGAGGTCATTTTGACCAAAAGTGACTTAATCCTCAGTTTGATATGATAGGTCACATAACACATATTACTTTCTGAATAGTGTTAATAAATGAGGTTTATAACAGTAAAGGCAGGGGTGCCAAGGAAGGAAAAGCATGTCTCCTGCTCTGGTGAGGGCTGAAACAATGCCATGGCAGAAGATGATGTTTTCACGATGATGGGAACAAACCTGTCCTGTTTCTGTGACAGCCAGGCAGTGCAGGGCTCCAACAGCAACATGGACTATCTTTTTCCCTCTCAGTCCTTCCACCATCTGGGGCTTTCGAACGTGGACATCAGTACCATGGCCCAGTCGGAAATAGTCTCCTTTACCCCTGTTTGGAAATGCAGACATTTGTAATGAATGGAAACCTGGGAGCAGAAGACTGGTCAAATGCAAATTCCCTCTATGAGGGATGAACTGAAGGTCATCTTTTGTGTAATACAACATAATCTTACCAGGTCCAAACAACTCCAGATTTAGTCAGAGCCAGGGAAAACTGAGCTCCACATTCGATTTGGCAGACACTCTGTCCATTGAGCCTCTCTATGTTCTGAGGAATGTTACAGCCCTCGCTGCCTCCCCGGCCGAGTTTTCCAAAGTCCCCATCGCCCCAAGAAAACACCAATCCTGACAAAAATCAAGGGAAAAAATGGAAAATGAAACACAACCAATCAAGTCTTATTTTTTTATTCTGTGCAGGTACAAATAATGTTTTTTTTATGAAATAAGGATCAACTGTGTAAAGACTCCAAACCACACTGTTTCATCGTAGTCATCTAGTAACTATAACATGTTTTGACATACTGTATATAAGCTTTCCTCAGGGAAAGTGCAAAACCCACTTTTTTAGCTGTTAAATATATTTTGTTGTGTAGATGGAGTATCTAGGAGGCAGAAAAGTTTAATTTAGTCTTTCCAGATGTTGCATAGATATCTTTATATTCTGTTTGGGTCGTATTTTTCTTTTTCTTTTTGTTCAGTTTTCTCTATTTTTTATGACATTTTTTTAACTATTACATCAAATAATTTGTGACAGAATTGCCAAATAGGTTCTGGATACCAACTAAAATTTAGTCATCTTGATTCTTTGGTTCTGGGTCTGACTGACACTGCCATATTTCCCTTGGAAAAGCTGATATCAGCCACAAATCAGATATTTTTGAAGCTCTGAGAAGAACCACTTAAGTCTTTCCTATTTAATCCCTAAAATTTGTGTCCTCTTTGTTTTGCCCACTTCTGAACTTGAGTGGTTGTGAAGCAACACAGACTCGAAGCCTTTTAAGACAGGTAAGAAAATTTATTAATGGTACCATCATCGTCTGTCCTGTGCAGAATGACAAAATGCAAAATAATTTCTTTACTAAAACCTCTGTAACTTTGCTCCAGTTCATTTCAGCAGCATGAATCTTTGCACAGGTAATGTCCACAAGTGGATTTATGGTTTCCAAGAGTTTTAGCCTGATTCATTGTGGTTTTAAATGGGTTTTATACTGTCTAATAAAAAAATATTCATGTGAGAGTGGAAACAAAAATTATGTTCCATCCCCAATATCTCTAAAACCACATCAAAYGTTTTAATACTTACACTTCTGATGAAATCTTCCAAGTGTTAGCTTTATTTTGATACCAAGAATATTTAAATAGAGTCTGGAAATGCTGAGATACACTCAGTTACATTTTGGCATGGTATTTTGAGCAAAAACAACAAAAAAAACACCTTGGGGCTTAAGAGGTTTAAAAAGCCTCTCTTGTGGTGTTTGTGCACTCCTGTTTAAGATGTTGTCTTACTGATCGATAGTAGTGCTCCATTACAGGTGGAGCACTATTATTGATGCACCTACTCTTTAAAATCAAAATGGGAGATTCAGGGTGCTGAAATCACGGGCCAACAGACTCAAGAACAGTTTTTACAGCAGGGCAATAGGCCTACTGAATGCACACAGACCTTCAATTGTACTATTATCGTTTTATTTTTTATTTTTATTTATTATTTATGTTATTTTTGCATTTTTCTCTTTAACTTGTCAGTCACTTTAACTTTTTATCACATTTATATTATCTTCTTTGCTTTGTATTCTGTTATGGACACTGCAGTGGGACGACACCACAATTTCGTTGCACTATTGTACGAAGTATGACTGTGCAATGACAATAAAGATTATCTTATCTTATCTACTCTTTATGTTTTGCTGGTGGTTTGACTCCCCGAGAAATTTGTGTATGCCAAAACACACTTAAGTTCTTCTAAAATCTTTAAGTCTATGCATTGAAAAAAAAAAGCTTTTTAACCATTTAAAGAAGAGACYGTCTTATCAAGTCTTTGTGAAATTGTTTATATTCAAGACTTATATTCTTGCCCAAAAAATCTTTTGGTCCATCATCTATAAAATATATTTAATCATTTGTATGGTTAAAAAGCAGCAAAGAACCACAGTGGTTAGAGCTGCTGCCTCACAGCGAGAAGGTTACAGGATCACCTAGCAGCCTGGAGGCCYTTCTGTGTGGAGGTTGTATGCTCAACCCATGCAGGAATGGGTTTTCTCYAGGTAATCTGTTTTCTTCCCACAAACCAAAACCATGCATGTTAGGTTCATCGGTAACTCTAAATTGTTCCTCAATTTAAGTGAGTGTGAGAACAGTTGTTTGTCTCATTTATCTCTAACTGGCCCTGTGATGGAGTTGCAATGTGTTCAGGGTGTACAAAATGATGGCTGGAGATWCACACCAGCTTCTCTGTAACCGAGAAAGGTGGACAGAGGTGGGTGGACAGATGTTTGGTTAAAAACCTAACATGGCAACAACAGAATTACCTTCATCAGTGAGAGCCAGAGTTTGAGCGTCCCTGCTGCCACAAGCCACCTGGATAACTCTGTGTCCAAGAAGCACTTTAACCTAAATCACAGATCAGACAAAAGAAATCACAAATAATCTAAACTACATCTTAAACTATCTGTTGTTAAAAGACTTACAAATATTTAGGGCCAGTGGGTAAAAAACTTAAACATAGTTCAAATTCACAGAGAGTTTACACAATTTAAACAGTTTAAAAGCCAAACTCCAGTTTAGAATTGAGAAACGTCTCTGAATGAGACCTAAAATATCTTCAACTACTGAATATAAGTCCAGTTGTTTCTTTTTAAGCTTTTTATTAATATTTACAAGGCAATAACAGGTAATAAAAATAGACTTAAGTTTCACTAGAAAAGAAAGTAAAGTAAGAAATGGAAACCATGTTCATACCAGTTTGGGTCTTAGCTGAGTGGTGTTGTCTCCATGACCAAGGCGGCCATATTCACCTAAACCCCAGCTGTAGAGCTCCCCGCTGGAGGTGATGGCAGCACTGTGAGAGCTGCCGCAGGCGATGTCACGGATACGCTTACTCTTCAACGCTTCGATCAGTCGAGGCTTGTCACAGTTCCTTAAAGGAAAGATCAGACATTTCCTCAACTGTTCATCACTTATTCTAGAAAAATCTTAATCTGAATGAGAAACTATTTATTTTTACAACAATACTAAATAAATTACAACACTACTAAATAAAAACTTGTATTAGGTTCACACAACAAGATTTTTTTTATTATTATTACGAGATTAAAGTTGTAATTTTATGAGAATAAAGTCATAATCTTTCAAGATTAAAGTCGTAATATTACGAAGTTAAAGTTGTAATATTACGATATTAAAGTCGTAAATTACGAGATTAAAGTCATAATTTTATGAGAATAAAGTCATAATCTTACATGACGAGACCATTTTCCTTCCTCATTTCCTCCTTATTTTCCTCACACCTGATGTGTACAGCCATGTGTCTGTGCTTATAAAGTAGTACATGATGACTTGGGTCACTGTTAGATTTATATGCTTTCATCCAAATTTACTACATGACGACTAAATCTGTCAATATTCATGGGTCCAATAATTACAATATGGTTTCAGTTTATAGTTGTAAGTCCTRTTACTGATAATTTGATGCAAATGTGCTAAAAGATTAACCATTTATTTTAAGCAATACTACAGAACAACTTGACAAGTTGCTCAACATCCATCCATCCATTTTCTTCCGCCTATCCGGGGTCGGGTCGCGGGGTCAGCAGCTTCAGAAGGGAGGCCCAGACCTCCATCTCCCCAGCCACTTCTTCCAGCTCCTCCGGGGGAACTCCAAGGCGTTCCCAGG